AGAGAGAGAGAGAGAGAGAGAGAGAGAGAGAGAGAGAGAGAGAGAGAGAGAGAGAGATTGCCGTGTGTGTGTGTGTGTGTGTGAGAGAGAGAGATTGCCACATTGTTGATCAAGTGAATCTGACACGCGCTGCTCGGTTCCTTCCTTGGCTTTTTGCCTTCCAGGAAACGCTCCAAGATTTACGCCCAGCATTACGACTCACATGGCAGTGCTTCTTCCGACAACTCCCCTGGCGAACAGCGACTGCCAAGTAGATTGGGTGCTGATTACGTCGATTCATACATTAGAAGACCTGCTTAACAACAGTGGCACTCTTATAATTGAAGGCGATTTGCGACAACTCCGCCCAGTCAATTCTCAATCACACCGTCTTGGCTCACTGAACTTCGACTCACAGACACTCGCACACACACAAACACACTTGTCGATAACTCAGTAAGTAAGAACATGGCATACATACAACAGGTTAATCACAAACATGTTCAGGGAACACAGCAAACGGACTCAGAATGGGAATCTAGCGAGTAGGAGCATGACATATATACAAGATTGTTAATCACGAACATATTCAGGGAACACAGCAAACGGACTCAGAATGGGAATCTTGAGCAACGGATTAACGGGACAGCATTTTCTCAGAAAAGTTCAGGGTTCTCGGAATGCAAATGTCTAGGTCATTTCACACAGCGCAAAAAAAAATATGTGAAGGTATCGGTTTCCCAATCAAAACGCTATTTGAGAGGGATGGAGTGTCCGTTTGTGTTGGAGTTAGATGATGAGTGACTGACTTACTATGTGATGTGGGTGAAGCCGCACTGGCACTGGAAGAAGATCAAAATTCTTCTTTTTTTCCTTGTTTTCCGCATTTGCGCTCTGATATTTTGTGACAATATATGATGCAAAATTGTAAATTATGTACTAGTAATACATCATGATTAAATAATGTTATGTGATTAATGGTTGTATCATATCTATCGTCAAATATAGCGTCAAACAGAACTGGCCGGCAAACCTTAGGCGGAGAGGGTGAAGAGGACAACAAACGAGGGGTTGTGACCAAGTTTAACCGACTCATCTGGAGGCTGATGTAGACTCATTCATGTGGCTGGAGATGAACACATGAAGAGGGAAGTCGTTATAATGTGTTCAGACAATTTTTTGTTTCTTTTTTTTTGTTTCTCCACCGTCTCGCAGATTATCGGACCGTCTCCGGTGTCGCTGGACCTCTTGTAATCCTCGATAAAGTGAAGGTACATTCTCTCTTTTTCTCTCCTCTTTTTCCCTCTCTCTCTCTTCGCTTATCATACTGGTCTCCTCTGAATACCCGTGAAGGTACATTCTCTCTTTTCCTCTCTTCTCTTTTTCCCTCTCTCTCTCTTCCCTTATCATACTGGTCTCCTCTGAACACCAGTTGGTGCCGCTTCCTGACTTACCCTACTGTACCTCCTCACTCCCCGATTCCGCCGCTCCCCCCCCCCCCCCCCCCCTCCCCCCCCCCCCCCCCCCCCCCTCTCCTTCTCCTTCTCAACCCTCCCCTTCCCTATCCCAACCATTTGCCCCCGCTAACAGCCAGACACGAGTTTGGACTCGTCTTAAAGTGCGCTGACGTTGTCCCTTTCCGCTCTTATTCCCCCCTCTCACATGTTACACTTACCCCGCCGCTACCCTATGGGCCTTGCCGCATCACTCACCAGATGTGGAAAAGACAAGTATGGCCGGTGTATCTTTCCACGTTTAAGTGGGACATACATTCTCATTTTGCACATTTGGTGAGTCGTGTGGTGAGGCCCTATGTTTGGGAATATTTACTTAATTTTCTTCACCCTCTTCTTGTGATCGCTTGTTTTGTTTTTTGTTTCGTTTTTCTTTTTTTCTTCTCGTTTTCTTCAACTCCTTATTTGAATTGTGCATCGACCTGTGTTTATTCCCTTCTTGTTTGCCCCCCACCCTTTACCCCCTTCCCCTCCTCCTCGTTGCCTCCATCATCTTCCCCGCAAGGGGGTGTTATGCAGTTCCTCTTCTGCCTTGCCTTGTGATGTATCTCTCTCTGATCCCCCCCTTTCCCCTCTCATTCTCCCCACCGTCTCTCTTTCTTTATTCTCTTCTTATTTGACCCCTACCCTCCACCCCCTTCCCCTATTTGCCTCCTCCATCGCCAACTTTACCGCAAAGGGGTTCTTCGTGGTTCTTCTTCTGCATTGCGTCGTGATGCGTCTCTCTCTATCCTTCTTCCCCACCCTTTCCCCTCTCCGCTTCCCCCCCCCCCGCATCTCTCTCTCTCTCTCTCCTTGTTTGCCCCCTACCCTCCACCCCCTTCCCCTCTTTGCCTCCACCCCCAACTTCCCGCAAGGGGGTGCTGTGCGGTTCTTCTGCTGTTATGATGAGTTTCTCTCTTTAACTCCCCCTTCCCCTTCTCACCTTCCCCCCGTTCTCTCTCTCTTTATTCTCTTCTTGTTTGTCGCCTACCCTCTACCCGCTTCCCCTCTCTCTTTCATCGCCAACTTCCTCGCAAGGGGGTGCCTTTCCTTGTGATGCGTCTCTTTATCCCCCCTCCCCCTTCTCTCTCTCTCTCAAAGGTTTTGCAATTCTTCAGCTCCATCCGCTGACCGTGTTAATAAGTTTGGTTCCCCGCCCATTTTGTGTACTTTTTGCAGATCCTCATTTCTTCCCGGGAGCAACTCCCGTTTCTTTAATGCAAAATTATCCATGTTTTTCTTTACTTGTGATGACTTCCCCTCTCACCCTTCCCCCCGGCCCCCTCCTCCCTCCCCTCTCTCTCTACCTCTGTCTCTCTCACTTTTTCGCCCTGTGCTGTCCATTGACTAAGTGTTATCCTGTGTTTCCTCACTGTTCATTCACCTATCAATTTCCGCGGAATAGAAGGTATGGTAATTAAGGCTGTATGTGGAGCAACTTCCAAGTCTAGATACACCCATAATGACCGTAAGTTGTACTCGGCTGAAGACTGTAGTTGTCTTGTTGCAGTGTGCGCACCTTCTTCCTCTCTGTCCCTCTAGGGAGGGTTGCTCCTTGTGTAAATGAGGAGAGAATCAGTGTATTGCTACTTTGTAATTAGATGTGCAGGTTCTGGGAACATGGCGCGAGAGGAGTCGTGAGAAGAAGTGGAAGGAGGAGGGGTGCAGAGAGGAGGAATGGGGATATGAAGGATTTAATTTTCCGGTAAAAGAGACATGATGAATTTGAATACTGAACAAAGAGACGGTGGGTAAAATGTTTTGTGTCGTCTGTCTGAACGTACAGAAACCAAAATTTGCGGAGATTGTCGAACTGAGGCTTGGTGATGGGACCTCTAGGAGAGGGCAGGTTTTGGAGGTGGATGGAGAAAGAGCGGTCGTCCAGGTATGTATGTGTAATGTGTTCAGCAATGCCGGGCCAAAAGAAAAATGAAGTCACTAGGAAGTACATTCTTGTCTGTGTAAGGCACTGTGGTTATGGGTTTGGCAGGCTTCTTCTTCACTCTTGTTCACATGAAACCGATATTCAGTCTGCTTGGCAGGCTTCTTCTTCACTCCTGTTCACATGGAACCGATATTTAGTCTGCTTGCCCTGTGTGTATATGCGTGCATGTGTGTTTATGTTTGTTCTCTAAAGAGAACTCCACAGAAAATGGTCTGCTTGCCTCGTGTGTGTGTGTGTTCACTAAAGAGAACTCCACAGAAAAGGGCGATTGTAATGGTCTGTTTCGCTGGACTTCCACGTGTGGTGTGTGCTTGTGTGTGGGGCGCTGTTTTGTACACACCTTACTATGCGGCCCATGTGATGTGGAATAAGCCAACGAGTTTAATGCTACATAATAAGCAGCGGAGAGGATATTCTTTATGATGCCTCACATGTCCACGTGTGGGGTGTGTGTGTGTGTGCACGGGCGAGTGCGTGTTTTGCACACACCTTACTATGTGGCCCATGTGATGTGAAATAAGTCAACGAGTTGAATGCTACATGATAACTAGCGGAGATGATGTTCTTTATGATCACATGTCGCCACTGGTCTGGGTTGTCTCTTCTCTCACACACCATAGTAGTGTAGAATTGATGTTAACCAGTGGAGAGGATATTCTTTTTTATGCCGCACATGTAGCCACTGGTCTGCGTTGCCTCCTCTCACACACAATAGTAGAATTTATGTGCAAAAAGAAGACCGATAAAAAACCATAGTGTTTGCGGGCAGTAATGTGGTGGTGTGTGTGTGTGTGTGTGTGAGAGAGAGAGAGAGAGAGAGAGCTCTAATGGACAAGTAGAATCCACAATGTCAAGTAGAATCCACAATGTCAGTGGGGGAGGATGATTGGGGCAGTGGGGGAATAGGGTTGTGCAGTAGAACCGCTGCAGTGGAGGAAGTGGATAGGCACAGCCTACGAGGGTGGGTGCAGAAGGTGTAAAGGGTGGGAGGGGAGGGAAGGTGAGCGCGGAGGTGGGGAAGGTGGGGGTTGAAGGTGGCTGCGGAGAGGGGGGGGGGGGGGAGTGGGTGCCGAGGGGAGGGAAGGTGGGAGCAGAGGAGGGAATAGGGCTGGTGCAGTAGGCCAGAACCTGCACCGTGGAGAATGATAGGCGTAACCTTTGAGGGTTGGCGCAGTGGGTGGGCGCAGAAGGTGGGGAAGGTGGGCAGGAAGGTGAGCGCAGGTGGGTGAGGAGGGCAGGGAAGGTGGTGGGCGCAGAGGGGGGCGGAAGTGGGTGCGGAAGGGAGGGAAGGTGGTCACGGAGGGGAGGAACAGTGGCCGCGGAGGGTAGGGAAGGTGGGCGCAGATGGGCCGGAAAGCGAGCACGGAGGGGAGGGAAGGTGGGAAGGTGGGCACAGACAGACCGGCACAATATTAATGAACTGATAACATGGGACAACATTTACTCTATGAAGCAACAAGACCCGGCATCTGTTTGACATACAGCAACACGACTCGACTTCATCCAACAAGAGACTTGACATCATCCTGACTCGCAGCAAGAGGGCTCTTCTTCTTTTATGGACTGACACCCAAACATTCTGATAGGAAAACTCAGAAAACCCTTTTGAACCACTCAGGAAATGTCAATGAAGCTCAAAGGTGATGCTTGGAGCATTATCCTGTCCTTGCATCCTGGCATAACGCCGACGGTGAACTAGGTAGGCACCCTGCTGGTAGGCTTGTTTCTGGGGTATACACTTGGCAAGCGTCATTAAGATATATCATCACAGGCCTTCTTATGTGTCCAGCACCGGCTGCCTGAAGATTGCTACTACTATTCCCTTTTTTTTTCGTTTGTTTTTTGGAGTATGAGAACCTTCTAACAATTTCGAAGTTTAATGTACAATGGTTTATTTAACACTACACTTTCAAATGCATATGACTTGCATGCGGTGGTGTTTGGAGCTCGTCTTCCTTCTGCCCCTACTGCCACCCCCCTTTTGTGAGGTGGGGTACCTTATTTTTCTCCCCCTTTTTCTTCTTGATTTTTAAAGATTATGTAGATTAGGGTTTCCTTTTGACTGCCTTCAATCCGTGTACTTTTTTCTTTGTTGTTTTTAATTTATAGTTCTTTTCCCGAAAATCTCGAATCTTTTATTTTGTTGCTCTTTTGTGGAACAGGTGTTTGAAGGAACGTCTGGCATTGATAACAAGGGGACAACTGTCGAGTTCACTGGAGAGGTTAGTTGGGCTTGATGTGTTGATGAAGGGAGGAAAGAGGAGGGGAGTGGTGAGAGGGTGGGGAACGGATGGCAGGAAGAAGGATTTGGTCTTCCATGTTTTGGGATGTGTGATGTTTTGCCGTTAAACCACCAGTCCAAGAGGATGGTGCGCAGCGCTAACTGCTATCGTGTTGTGGATGCACAGGCCTGCTTGTAACTGGTTAAAGTCATCGACGAACCAGTGGCGGTTACCTGCCAAGAGCACCTTGCTCTTAGACTGGTGGTTTAGCGAGCATCTCTCGTTTTTGTAATTTGTCTATGCTCCCGTTATTAAGCACATTGTCTGTAAAGAATTGCCGGGGTGATTCATCATTGTATTGAAACTTGATGGGGAATTAATTGCTATAAGTTTATAAAGTACAACGTTCAGGGATATTATGCAATGAAGTTGAAGTTGAAGTTGTTGAACGAATACAATGTACCTTGTTGCATGGGAGCACTTCATGTTGTCTGTGGCCTGTCGAGAGGAGTTGGAACCATGGCTACGCCGGACCCGGACAGCTCATGCCCAGGGGACCGGACGCATGTCCGGTCGGATCCGGGCACTTGGACTTCTGGACACATCCGGAGCTCCGGGCATGCATTGCTCTGGACGGTCCGGACCAGTGAACAGGTCTGGAAATATCTGGACCATATTAAAAAAAAAAGAACTGAAAAAAAAGTGTGTTATGCAGAATGACAACACAAACGACGTTTGCCTCACAGTCATGCCCGAATTCCTATCCAAACTTGAGTTAAAAGCTAGGTTGTGTTACCGGACGTCCGGGACCCCCCTGACCGTCCAGGATGTCCGACCCCGTCCGGGATGTCCGACCCCGTCCGGGATGTCCGACCGGACGTCTGGTTGGACGTCGGATCGGACAGGGGTTGTCCAACCTAGTGCAAAAAAAAAAAAAAAAAAAAAAAAATCATGTCAGAAAATTCTGAAAA